ATCCCAGCCGGCCGCCCCTGAGCACGGCTGACATAAACAAAACACCCGCGCCTCTCGCTGTCATTTTAATTCATTATGACGCCGTGGTGTTCCGTCACAGCGCCTGTGCAGTTTTGGAAAGAGTGAAAACGATGTCTAGACACCGCCCTCTCGCCTAATGTCGTTCTCACTTCCTTTTTGCCAGAAACCGCGGTCGGCGGGTTGAAGAACAAGAGGCCGGCGGCGGCGGCTGGCGCCCAGGCCGGGAAGAGAGGGAGCGGCGGCGGCGGCAGCGTCTCCGCGCTCATCCTCCGGGTGGTGGCCGCGTCGAAGCAGCGGGGCGGCCTGTGCATGGCGGAGCTGAGGAAGGTCCTGGCGTCCGGCGGCTACGACGTGGAGAGGAACGACACGCGGGTCGCCGCGGCGGTCAGGGGCCTGGTGCGGCGGGAGACGCTGGTGCAGACCGGGGGCAGAGGCGCGACGGGCTCCTTCGCGCTCAACCCGGCCAGGGAGAGGAGGGCGAAGCCGGCAGCGGCGGCGGCGACGACGGAGCGGGCACGGAAAGCCGCGAAGCGGGGGGCGGAGGGACACAGACAGGCCGCCGCAAAGACTAAGCCGGCGGGGCGTCATGGCAGGACCAACAAGCCGGCCGGAGCCGCGGGCAAGGTGCCCACCGGGCAGAAACCCACGAAGGTCGCAGACAGGCGAGGCGCTGATAAGGGCAAGAGCCCAGCTGTGAAAGGCAGGGCGGCGAAGAAGGCGCCCAGAAAACCGGCTCCGAAAAAGAGGCGTTAAAACGGAAAGGTTTTTGATTTTATATGAGTGAATCAACAAATAAACGGGCTAAGCAGCTTTAAATGATAACTTCAAGAGTTCCGGTGTATTTATCCCCTACACATCCTTTATCATGCACACAATTAAAAAAAAAAAATTAAATGCAGATGAATTCTTACATGTATGACAAAATATATCAGGTGACTTGATTGAGGATTGTGTCCCACTTAAAGGATGTACTGTTGGTTTGCATATCAGCCTTTATTTTTTAAAGTGAAAAGGAAAATCTTTGCAGTGGTACCTAGATTGCATTTCATATGAATTAGATTAATGCTGTTAAGACCATCTGCGTTTAGCGGAGCAGAAATACATATCAGTGGAACGATAGTTAATTTTAGACCTTAAATAAAAACTATTAATACATGAATTGGTACTGTTTATTTTATTTACTTAAAAAAAACACGCTATTGAGTTGATAGTGAAGATCTTTTAAAATAGGTTAGTGTATAAGCGCACTCCCCAATAACAAAGGTCCTTTTTTCTCCCATGAAAATTAAATTACTTTTGGATTTGCTTCAAAACAATCAGCTCTTATGATGATCGAACTATCTCAGTCACAAATATGAGAAAATATAAGGCGACTGAATCGTGAGATTTAAAAACAAAATACACAATTAGAGGTCAGGGCTGTTAGTGCACCTCGGAGCGCAAACTGCAGCAAAGTTGCTGTCCTAGTAGCTTGGAATCAGAGCGAGCGGGCTTTTGACTCCCAAGTTTGCACAAATCGCACAGTTTACGCCAAGCACATTGTTTTCTAGGATAGGGGATATAAACGGCATGAGAGTCGGATTTCAGAAAATCTGCACGTAGTGCAAAACGGATCGCACGGCCCTTTGTTCCTGAGTGCTCGGGCGGAGGGGAGAGAGAGGCGCCTGGAGTCGGAGCGAGCGGCTCAGGTGCTCAGCCGTTTGAATTTCATTGGCGCAGAGCGCAGCCAATAGGAGAGCAGCTCTCTCGCTGACCAATGAGCCTCCTTCTCAGCTGAGCGAGATGATTTGCATACAGCCGCTATAAATAGGGGGCTGCAGGAGGCGTGAGTTTCATCATTGTGTACGCAGTACGTAATTTGAGAAGATGCCTGAACCAGCGAAATCCGCTCCCAAGAAGGGCTCCAAGAAAGCCGTGACCAAGACGGCCGGGAAGGGCGGCAAAAAGCGCAGAAAGACCAGGAAGGAGAGCTACGCCATCTACGTGTACAAGGTGCTGAAGCAGGTGCACCCGGACACCGGCATCTCGTCGAAGGCCATGGGCATCATGAACTCGTTCGTCAGCGACATCTTCGAGCGCATCGCCGGCGAGGCCTCCCGCCTGGCGCACTACAACAAGCGCTCCACCATCACCTCCCGGGAGATCCAGACCGCCGTGCGCCTGCTGCTGCCCGGAGAGCTGGCCAAGCACGCCGTGTCCGAGGGCACCAAGGCCGTCACCAAGTACACCAGCTCCAAGTAAACCCGGCCCGCCCGTCCCGGATCAGCGAACCCAAAGGCTCTTTTAAGAGCCACCCACAGAGTCCGTAAAAGAGCAATCATGATTTCTTCCTTCTTGCTTCAAACCGTGGAAATAGACAATATAGTGCAATGGCACTAAAATAACTTGGATTTGATTGATTTAATAAAAAAAAACAAAAAACATTTCCCACTTGGTTCTTTAAGCAATATCGTATAATTCTCGCTTGTCGTTCCGATGTGCTTAAATTCGAGAAGCTTGTTAGGATGAACGTTAAAATTGTCCATCAGTCTGCTGTTTACTTCCCCCAATTCTGTGTAAAGTGTATCCTGTGCTCGATTCAAATTCACCCTGACTTAAATCACACACAGCTCCTCTTCTGACCAAGTGGCTGTAAGCGGCTAACCGCTGTTTCAAATTATTCAAGTGTACCTCGCCTAGTTAAGTGCTGGACAGGTCCGATAGAAAAGTATGTTCCTGTTTGTAAGGCTACAGCTCAACCAGGACAAGGCTCAGGGAGCAGAGACCACAGCTGTCCAGCAGAGGGAGCAGGAGAGAAGGAATCGTTTCTCTTAAAAAGCCCATAATAAAGAAAGCAGAGGTTCTTGACCTTTACTGCAGCCACTTAGACCTAAAAACTTCTTACCCCTTATTAAAAATCTCTAAAGAAGGTCAGTTCTTTAAACCCGATGCATATCGTAATTATGAAATGAGAGAGAATGAAATATAGGTAAGATCAAGAATGCATGAAAAAATATACAGTCCAAGGTCTGAAGAAACAACGTATTTGTACTGATGTGCCTGTGCTTAATCTGTGTTTTTGATTTAGAAGCAACCGGGGTTAAAAGAATGTAGTCATTGCAACTGATTTATATCAAATCTGAAAGAAGGACGTTGTTCTTATATACAACAGAACTCTCTTCAGGATACTTTATTAATCCCCTGAGGGAAATTGCAGTGCACCAGCAGACTGGCACTGTTACCACAGGACAATGTAACGAATGATACAATATTACAACAATACAGTAAGTACAGTCAGTGAGAAGTGCAGTAAAACCTTTTTAAAAATGGAGTATATAGAATTGCTCACATTACAGGAGATGTAAGACAAACCAGAATGTACAGTATACAAAAAGATATATTGCACATTATAAATATATTACACAAAGCATATATTGCACACAAATCAGTTGGAAAGAGGAAAACCAGCTGTAAACAGAGAAATTCATTTGAATTCCCAAAAACAGGTCAATGTTGCCCCTGCCCAGACACACAGTGGAGGAGTTGCACAGTCTGATGGCAGAAGGCAGGAAATTACCCCCTGTAGCGCCCCCTGTCGCATGTGGTTGGATCAGCCTACTGCTGAACGTGTTCTTCGTTCTCACAAGCATGTCATAGAGGGGATGGGAGACGTTGTCCATGATGGCCATTAATTTGGACACCATTCTCCTTTCAGCCACTACCTCCAGGGGGTCCAGGTTAGAACTTGTTCTTTTGATAAGCTTTTCAGCCAGTTAGCATAGAAAGCATAGAATCATAGAAGACAGTAAATTGATAGGTAGATAGTCGCTAATAGACACAGATCTCATTGTGTTGTGTCTAGAGACTTGTTTGGACAACTTGCACCATTCACCCACAACTCTTTGGGTAAAGCTGATTAAAAAAAATGCTTGTTAGGTGTATGTAATATACACACCAGCTGAAGCAGTTTGGTGTTTATGAGTAACGAACTGTAACAAAATTAACCTGTTGCAAGACTGAAGAATTAATGAGAACAATAAGAAACCAGTGAGAACAAACCCCCTCCACATGGCAGTGGAATGTGAGATTAAAGAGACAGGAGTCAGTCTGAAGAAATAAAGAGAATTGTGTATAAAAGAACCGGCAATTAACTAAGTACAAGAACTCAGGCTGTTTCAACTCAGCTGTGTGGATACTTTAGTATTAGTGTAGATATTCTATTTGATTAATAGTATCAAGATAGGTTTCAAAATAAAGCGTCCGAAACTGCTGCCTCGCAGGTCTTGATTTTAATTCGGGATGGAAGAATCCTTCTGTATGGAGTCTGCATGTCTCCAGCCTAGTGCCCTGTTCCTGTTGAATTGGTATTAGCCCTACCGTGAGCCCCAGAGACAAACTAATTAATTTAAATGTCTGGGGAATGGACGGGCGTTCACACCAGCCAGATGAAAGAAAATAAAACTAAGCATTTGAAAATCCGCTTTTTTCTGCCCGTCTTGTACGAGCAGTAATATCACGGGCTTTCTGCTAACTGTCTCCTCCCGAGAAGCTGGGACGATGCTGAAGGATCTGGAGGAACTGCAATCCGAAGTAACAGGTTTAGAAAGAGCTTCAGGAATGTTGGTATTGA